CACGTCGGTAAGTTCACCGATCTATGTGACCCAGCGATTCATTGCTGTTGACGTATGTACGTAGTTCCATTTCAAAAATAAAAGCAATTATCGGCCGTCTCATGCTTCTCTCTAGTCTAAAAGAACGTCGTGCAGGTCATGGTAATCCACGAGCCTACCGATCGCCGCGAGATCTTGCGCGGCGCTGTCGAAATGGAGCCTGCTACGTTCCATAATTTTTTTACAGATGTCAGAATGTATCATGCGAATCAATTGACGGTAAATGTCCAGTTGCAGGCTACGGTAGGGTACTGCATTATAGTCCCCTCGGCTACGGTAGTGCACGAGCCTCGGGAGATTGCCGCGACCACGCATGACGCTGTGGAGCGCGCGATGATAGTTCCTCCTACGCGACGAACTTTTCATAATCTTTTTCCAAACGCGTCTCTCTATTTTTATATAACGCGTGGAATTACGACTAGTGTCGAGTTGGAGCTGGCTATGATACTTCAAGAGTCTCGCGAGATCGCCGATATCTCGCGTAGCGCGGTGGAACTCGCGACGATAGCGCCTGCTTCGCGACGGACTATTCATAATCTTTTTACTAGATACTATATAACGAGTGAAATTACGACAAGCGTCGAGCAGGCGCCGTCGTCGCGCGCTCCATCGCCCTCGCGAGATCGCCGAGATCTCGCGGACGCGATGGAACGCGCGACGACGGCGTTTGCTACACGCCAAACTTTTCATACTCTCTCTATATAACAAGTGGAGTTACGACAAGCGACAAGTTGCAGGCTATGGTCCATATATATAGATATAGTATCCTATATCCCCAAATATCTCCTAAAGTAAGCGCTATACAACAAAATTGTTTAAACAAAAGTTGTTCAGGACAATGGGGATCATCTTTCTGCATTATTGGTTTTGACCTTGAGGTCAATTTTCAAGGTTATTTGAAGGTTACAGTGATTTTTTTAAATGAGAACCCCTATTTTTGACACCGGATTCGGAAAGAGCGGGAAATTTTACATCAGAAATGATAGTTTGATAATTTGCTAAAGTGACCTTCAAAAGGTCAAATGTTGAAAAATTGTCCAGAAGATGTTTTCTTCAAACTTTAGAAGATTTATTACGGGCGAACGAATGTTTTAGTAGGTTTGGAGGCCAACGACTTTGGCTAGCTTGACCTTGAGGTCAAATTTAAAGGTTATTAGAAGGTCAAAGTGATTTTTTAATGAAAAACCTTACTTTCCTCGCTATAATCTTACTTTTAGCGTTACCCAGA